CTGATTAGAATCAATTCTGTAAATTGATACGAAAGAAAGAAAGAAAAGAAAGAAAGAAAGAAAGTTGGAAGCTTTAGATTCTTGAGTAATGTATCAAATTTGCATCCTTGGCAGGGAGAAAGAAATAGGTAATTGATGAAGCAGTTCCAGACTTGGAAGTTTTCCTCTTTTCTAAAGCCATCAAAGGTGTCTTTGATAGCACTGCAGTCCAGAAAACTGAGGACATCAAGGAGTTTCTAATAAAGCAACAATGTAAAATTTCACAAAAGACAAGGACAGATTCATTCCTACAATGTTATGTTGAAAATGACTATTCACCTGGAAACTACTACTGTTTTCCATACATATTATGTTTGAGAGGTTACAACTTTGAGGTAGGTGAGTTTTCTGAAACTATGCAGAAGCTAGAGACTACAAGTGTCAGACTCCATGCTAACAACATGTTTGGTCACAATGCACTCCTCATTACCAGCTTCTTTCCTGTTTTTCTGCACCTAAAGGAAGTTATACATTAAAGGAAATACCTGCTCAGAAAGAAAATTAGCACCAGATAAACCAACAGCTTAAATTGGCAACTGGACTTCTACAGTGAGCACAGGTAGTTTCCACCCCCAAGGGTGTTTCTGTTTTGTGGAAAGACTTGATGTGTTTTGGGAAATTAACCTTTGGAGAAAAGTGGGCCGTAGATGTCTGCAGTAAGATTCAGCCATGTATCATGGATGTACAGAACGGTGGGTTTTTTTTCTCTCTGAACTCCAGTACATTAATGAAGCTAGTCTGTTTTATTTAACAACTTAAATTCGTTTTCAAGTATGCATTAGTCCCTTAAATATTCACTACATGATGTTCAACTACAAATTCAAGCATTTCTACATTAAGAAATTAGATTAATAATTAATGTAGCTTAATTAATTGTAAGTTAGTTCCTGAAAGGTTAAGTCTTATAATGGATATCATATTCATGCGTATAAAATTTATTCCCAAAGTGCAACAGCCACTAAAGAAAGAGAAATTTTAGGATTTGCACCAATTCTGGTCTGTTTCATAATCACATGACCAAAACAAAAAAGCCTGCTTTCGGAAAAAAAACAAGCACAAACAGCCATCTGTCTAAAATGTAGTCAAAAAATTACTAAATCATCAGCAGCATCTTTTCCTCCTCTTTGGTCTGTTCCTGCAAGATGCTACTTACACATCTTTGAGTATAATGGGCCCTTCTACTCCACACGCAAAAATAATTAGGAAAGAGGTGCGACATCTATACTCAAATCATGAGACTACACAATTTACGCGTCTGGGTATATTAAATACTAAAAATTACCCACTTCTCCAGGTACATTTCTGAGAAACTGAACTAAGTTGAGTGTGTATTTTAATAACCTCTTAAATACATAATCCAAACAAAATTCATGTAGATACAGCCCTAGGTGAGCTCACAACAGCACACAGCCTTTCAGGCCCACTATGATCACAAAGTAGATGTAGATGATGTAGAAAGCCAAGATGTGGCTTTGCAATAAAACCTCTAAAAACGAACTCACTAAGTACAGCACAAATCCATTTCTAAATCGTAATTATAGTTCTTTCAAAAGCAGCAGGTATCTATCCTAGCAGAAATAATGGTAAATACCGGAAAAATCCTAAGCATGCAGATGACTAATTTCTAAGCTATACTATGCATATATGTAGTCTATAAAAGCTTACTAAGAATTATTCGACACTTCGAATCCCCGTATAAACACCGAAGCCCTCCCTCGGCCACCGCAGGTACCAATAGCGTATACGCGGACACAACTAGATCCATCAGTAGGGAAACGCGAAGGCAGCTACAGGAAACGCCAGTGCCACTATACTGCTGCTCTCCTCGAAGGCTTCATCGTGTCTGTTCCTCCAAGCACTTCCAGCACAAACACCGAGGCTGCAGACATCCCCACCTGCTCAGCCCAAGGGGAGCCCTGGAAGCCCCGCTGCCCACCTCCCATTACAGCCCCGCGGTCACAGCCCCCTCCCGCCAGCGGGACGCGCCGACATGGGACTACAGGCGAGGAAACACATTTCTTCCCTCTCCCCGATGCCCAGGTGCGCCGTCCCGTCCCTCCGCCGCCGTAATTCCTTTCCTGCCTCCCCCAGAAAGAAGGGGACACCTTCCCGCCCCGCCGGCCTCTCCCGGGAGCCGGCCCTACCCGAAGGCGGCCCCCGCCGTCCCCTCCGGCGGTGCCCGGCGGGCCCGGGGCCGCCGCCGCCGGGCGGGAGCGGCCGCAGGTCCCGGAGGGAGGGAGAGGGCGGGCAGGAGCCGCGCCCGCCCGGGCGGAGAGAGCGGCAGCCGCAGACCCCCCCCCCGCGGACCTCCACGGCTCTGGGGTCCCCTCGGGGCGGCCACTCCCCCCGCGGGGACGGCGAAGGGCCCGGCGGCTGCGGCGCGGCGGGACGCGAGCGCGGGAGCGCCGCCGCTGCCGCCATCTCTCACCTCCCCGCCCCGGACAAACCTCCAACCGCCGCTTCCTCTTCTGCCTCAGCGTCCCGGCCGCGGGGAAGCGGGGCGGAGGAGGAGGATGCGGCGGCGGATCCGGTGTCTCTACCGGGCTGCGGAGGCGGCGGCAGCCCACGGGCGCGCAGGCGCTGCCGCTCCCCCGCCTCCCCCTTCTTCTCCTTCTCCTCCTCCTCCTCCTCCTCTTCCCCCCGCCTCCGCGGGG